TTCAAACGTATGAAAGACAAGATGAAGGCCAACAGTCAAAAGAACATCAAAATTTATGCCGAGAAGGAAATGAGAAATTTGAAAAAGCTCAATGAGGCTGGCGTTTCTTGCCCAACACCGTATCTCGTGAAAGATCATGTCATTTTGATGAGCTTTATTGGAAAGCAAGGATTTCCAGCTCCTGCTTTGAAGGATGTGACTTTTACAAGTGTGGACAAGTTGAAAAAGGCGTACACTCAAGTCATTACCAACATGAGAAAAATGTATCAAAAGGCTAAACTCATTCACAGCGATTTGAGCGAGTACAACATTTTGTATCTTCATGGTGAAGTGTACATCATTGATGTTTCACAAGCTGTTGAAAGTCATCATGCCAATGCCAAGTCTTTCCTCGTGAATGATTGCAGACACATTAATCAATTCTTTGCCAAGCAAGGGTTGACAACAATCTTGACCGATAAGGAACTCTTTGATTATGTCATTCAAAACGTTGAGGGTTACATGACTGAGGATGAATTACTAGAAACTACTCTTTGTGTTACTGAATTAAGAGATATTTCCATGATGGACCAAACACAAGATGACAAGTATTTTGCGCAAGTCTGTTTGCCTCAATCCTCCATTGATTTTGATGACAATTATCATGCTGTGGCTGCTCATTCTGCTGTTGACATTGTTGAGTAGACACTTCAAAGATTGTTGATCAACACTAGAGGACCAGTGGACATTGTCACTTGTGATGGGTGTACGGAGCTTAACATATTCAGAAAGCTCTCTTTGAAAATGACAATACCTCTTGTCTCTCTTGAAATTTGACAATCAAAGTTTGGTCCATGAATTCTTGACATTGACCTGTGAAAAACCTTTATAGAGGCCACTTTCAGGAAGGACATCTTTGATTGTTTTTTCATCCATGAACATGAGTGAACGGCAAGAGTTTCTCTCTTTGCATGGATTTCTAAACTATCAAATAAACATTCTTTTGAACCTTATTTAAAACCCTTCAGCGAAATAGGGTCCCTCTTTGTTATGATCACTTTTTCTTAGAATGCTGAAACCACAATGAGAGTGCGACTGGCATGATGCCTTCTTGTGACTTGTTGTAGACAAGATGATCAATTTGGAAGTTTGGAAAATTGTTGGAGACAAACTAACACTTAATGCCCGATAAAGTCGAGACAAAGATCTTTAGTAACAATTAAAATTTCTGTTCAAAATTAAATTGGGGTGTGTGCGTAAAGCAATCGCTATCAGCTTATTCTCAGCCCTCTTGAAATCTCTATATTTGCCAACTAGATAGAACTCTATGAATATAGCTCTTCTGATACATTCACGCATTGCTGATGCTTTTTTTCTACCAGATCGTAAATGACACTTTTTTCTCGTGTTCCAATCACCAGTAGCACCAACGTACAGAAAGTATTGATGTTGTTGAACAAAAATTTTGGCAATGTAAACAGCTCTCGCTTCTTGATGATTACTTTGAGGAAGTTTGATTACAAATTTCTTCTGAAATTTCTGGTCCTTTCCTTCTTGTTCTTTAGGTCGTTCTTGTTGTATACGAAATTTCTTCATTGCTTTCATGTTTCTATTATATTGTTTCTTCAATTTATGATAAGTTTTGGTTTGAACGCCACAGGGTCTGCGAGCACCGCTGGTTGTCATCTTTTTTTGATGGTGAAAATGTGTTACAAGCCTCGTGAATGACAATTCATTTCTTATCACGTGTTAAAGTCCTTTTAGGCTTTTCCGGACTTTTTGAAATAGAGAGACTGATTTTCCTTTGTATTGAACGCACAACAATCTCACAGCAGGAAGACTCAACTTTGTCTCTACGTCTGCTGGTGGTGTCATCTTTGGGTGTAAGGATTTCCAAAGCTCAACGTTGTAAGCAATAGTTTTCCTACCATATAACCCTGACTCCTTTATTTAAATCAACAATTTGAACCAAACAAACAAATCTAACAAAGTGCCGATCTTGCAAGCAAACACTCAAATGAGTGAAAGCCAGGGGAAAGGACCCAACGCACACAAGGTGCTCAAAAACTAATTCTTTGAGTTGTTTTTTTAGTAAGGAATCGAAGAAGAATTGCTCCATTGATATCTATGTCAATAATTGAGCCACATGATGGACAATGAAACACTTCGGATGATCCAACCGTAAAAAGGTCCACAACATGTGCAAGTTTTAGATGTATACGCTTCGTTAACAATATAAATGTGTGACCACTGATACTCTCAAACTTTGTGAAGCAATCTTTGCTTGAATCTGTAATGTGACCAAGTCAACATGTTTCTTGCTGTCTTGCTATTAATTCTAATTGAAGTAAGATCACTCGGTAGTTTCACAGCCACAAACACAATGTCTGACTTCTGGTTGATACTATTTCGATTGTAACTTGTCATACGCGCAACATAATCTACCATGTATTCATTCTTTGAATCAAAAGTTTTCTTTTGGGTGGATACGGAATTGTAAAGGTTCGTCAGGAACTGACTGTTGATGATTATATTGACTTGTTTGTAGTTCTTTTGGCTTCAACGGTCGCTTTTATCCTTCAGACGTAGAACTTGACCCACTTGACAGAGAAATGCGAGATACTGAGATGGTGTTGAGAAAGGTGTTTTCTTTTGATCGAAACAATCCTCTTCTTGATGATCCACATTTGTCACTCATTTCATTGTTTGATATTTAAAAAAAAGGCAACAAGATTTATGGCTGCTTTAAATGATGTTGAGAAGATTCTTGATTCTGGGCGAGAGCCAAATCATGATATTACTCGTAGAATTAATTGGATCACAGAGCAACATGGTTCACAATTGATTGGATCTTTCCATCCAGTATTTACTAATTTAGATGCTTCCGCCGATGATCCTACTTGGAAAAAACCAAAAGACTGATAGTCAGATGATGTCACAACAGTTGGAATGAACAATTTTATCATTAATATAATAAACTTTTTAGGTATATCATTATTTTGAGCTTGCTTTCTTACAATCAACCTTATGAGTCTTCCAATGAGCAACTTGACATTCCTTTGAGCAATATACAACACCATGACATCCTCCACATCTCTTGGTGGCATTAGGTTTTCCACACGCTGCACACACTTTCACATTGGATGAAGGTTTCTGTTGTGGTGGTTGAGGTGGAACGGTAGAAAGTGTACTTGGAAGGGGAGTAGTAGAGGCAATACTTTTTGATACCTCCTTTTCTGCTTGCTGCTGTTTCGAATTCTCATTGTTGACTTGAGTTTCTTCCTTCTTGGTGCCACTTTCTACGACGGTCTTTAAATATTGTTCCTTCTCTTGCTCAACATGTTGTTTTCGAAGTTTATCCAATTCAAAATAATCGGTAGGCTCTCCCTTTTTTAAACTTTTTGCAGTAATTTGATTCCAAATGCTCGAAATAATTGAGACTAATTTCATTTGTGACATGCTGACAATTAGTGTACCAGCCAGCTGTCCCATTTCTGGATGTGCCACAATTTTAGGAATCACTTTGGAAAAATAGGTTTGAATATTTGGTGGTTTTTTGTTTTTGGATTTTCTACGAACGAGCCATCTAGCAAGCATGTTTGACAATTCCATAAATACTTCATTTCTTGGAACGAGACGAGCCGGCATTCTACTTCGACTATTTTCTAAAATGGTATTGATGGCATGTTCCAAACCATGTTGCTTAAAGAGAGCCACAACCATTCCATCGGGCAACATTTCTTGACCATTGTAATAATAGGTTCTTTCAATGAAAGCTCTAATAAATGGTAAATCGATTGCTTTCAATTGGTTTTGATGCCATTGTTGAAGTTTCGAGTAAATGTCAGAGGCGATCGATTGAGCTCCATAAACTTTCAAGTAACTGGCCGAGTATGTGAAAATGTTGGAGAGGAATTTCTTCGCTTCAGGAACATGATCAATGACTTGACACATGCAAACAATCCAATCCATGACACCATTCTTTGGTGTTGGAAGCATGTCATGAATATTCGTAATTTCAGTATGAACCGTCTCGAAGGGCGGCATAAATCCAAATTCCATTTGATCTCCTACAGCAAAGTAAAAATTGTGGAAGAAGGGAGTACACATCATTTCTCTGTAAAATTTGAAATTGTATGTCTTGTCACGGTTGTTGTCACTCGAGACTTGCAAGTCTGAAAGAAGACAATTTTGCAAGACATCTTGTAGGCTCTTGCTCTTTTGAGATCCAAGGTTTGGTCGATTGAATCGTTTTTTCCAATCTTCTAAAATTGAAGATTCTGTATCGTTCAGCTTTCTGATTTTCACAGTCTCTGCCATGCAAGCTCCAAAAATATCAAGTGCCACAGAGTCAGGAATGAACGACAATGAAGTATAAGGTTGATCTGGGAATTTAGTCTTGTAAGGACGGGGAGCGGTGGTACCTCTGAAATAACTTTTGAGGAAATTTTCGCAATTGCTTGCATTGTCGAATGCTCCACTCAAAACATCACGCACCACTTGTGTGTAGGCATTGAATAGAATTCCAGTGACCACAAATTCATGTTGAACTCGATCTACTCGACACAATTTGAAGATTCCATAGCCATCGCAAACAGTTGCTACAAATCTTCCAGTTAAGGACTTGAGAAAGCCGTTTTTCTTGATTGAGGCAAAGAGAGACTCCTGAACAGGTGGTAACTCTTCGATCGAAAACTTTGAAGAACATTGGAAAAGAGAGGTGCGATCTTCTTTCGTTAGTTTGGAGCTAGGATCGAATTTTGACTTGTAGGAAATTCTTTCCTTGTCACCAGAAGTGAGCCAATCTTTGGCAGTAGTTGCCATTCCAGCAGCAATGCTGTCAATATTACACGTTAGTGGATTGACTTGGATCTGATACAAAATAGATCCATATCCCAAACAATGCATGCCTCTTCTTAAATTTGGAATACTCGCAAAACATGCTGTTGCTCGCAATGCGTTAATATGAGGAGTCTTTTTCTCTGATAACTTGAAGGACGATACAATATTTTCATAGAGAGGAGGCAAAAAGTCTTCCATCATGCAGCCAAATTTGTCACTTGAGAAGGCTCCATTTGCCAAGAATCGGCACAATGCTGGAGTAATGGACTTAGTATTTGCCAATGATAACACTTTTTTCATAAATTGAGAATCCTTTTCTAGTACGTTTACGCATGAAAGACATTGCTCTAACAATTCGGCTTTCACATGAGGAGCAGCAAACACATTTCCTAAAACTTCAAAAGCACTCTCTTTCTCCTCTTCCAATAGTTTTTTCAATTGAGCAAAGAATACCTTGTCTGTCACTATCTCAAATACGTGAGATTCACACTTGGAAATGTAAATTAGTGCATTCTTTCTTGTTTCAAGAGATTCTTGCTTGGAACTATTCAAAATCTTACAATGATTGTCATAAGACATGTCCAATGGTAGGAATGTAAATTTTTCATCATCGATACGTGGGCACATGGGACAGTGTCTCTGTAGAAATAGTTCAAAAAAGTGAAAAAATTTGTGATAAATTTGACATGTATATCTGGAGTATGTATGATTGTTGATAACTTACCTTCTTTTTCTCATTGCCCTTGATGATGTGCGACTCAGTTAACGAGCTATTCGTGTAATCTTGCATTTCTTTCTTGCTGTTTTTAGCCATTCCACTCAATACTTTCTTTTCCCATGTTTTGTGAGATATTGCTGAAAACGATGCGATAAATTGAATGGTTGTCAGCAAACATAAAATAGGATTGTCATTCACCTTACTTGATACCTCTCCAACAATCTCAAATAATGGTTGAACCATGGGCATGTGTTCCCAGGTCGCACTGAATATGAAAGCAGGATCGAAGAATTTGGATAGTTGAATCTTGTTGTTCTTGGCATACAGAATTGCATCCATGAGAGGTGCAAATTTGTCATTCAAAACCACGTTCTTGAATGTATCTTTGATATTTGAAAGATTCTTCACAACTGATGCATGTTGAGTAAGGGAGGAATTCCAAGTCTCATCAAAGATTGAAAGCTTTTGCTGGTTCGATAATTGAGAAAGCCAACTATACACTTCTTTTTTGTGAGGTTCAAATCTTTGTTCGAGCATTGGACCGAGATTTTCTAACATGCCATCCACCAAAGCCATACCCCTTTGGGAAGAAGATTCAGTCTCCTCTTGTTTTTGACTTCTCTTCATTTGTTTCATCAGTTCCTTGAGCTCACCTTCAGGTAACTTGCCACCGTTCATGAAACTTAGCATATTGACAAACTGTTCAAAGTTGGAAGGTAAATCACCGTCTCCTTCTTCATCCTCTTCATCTTCGTCATATTCATCCTCTTCATCCTCATAGTCTTCATCTTCGTCACCCTCTTCATCCTCATAGTCTTCGTCATATTCGTCCTCTTCTTCTTCCTCTTCATCTTCATGAGTTTCAGCTTCTGCTGCCTTTTGTTTCAATTTCTTAAACATGCTTACAAGAGCTTCATTATCAGGATCGAGTTTGATTGCTTCTTTAACAACGATTAAAGCTTCGTTGTAATTTTTCAATGCCTCCAAAGCCGTGGCCTTTCTCAAGTATCCCTTAATGAAAGTTTTGTTGCATGAAATGGCTTCATTGGCGCTGTTGACCGACTTTTCATAGGCTTTCATATTGAAATAACATGCAGACATGTTGGAGTGAAGAATGTGTTTGATTTCAGTGCTGTCTGACTGTTTCAATGCTTTTGAATAGTACTCGATGGCTTTGATATTGTTACCCTTCTTAAATTCTTCGTTTCCAAGATTTTTCAAAGATTCTGCTGACTGTCCTGGAGTCTTATCTTGTTTGGTTGATTTTTGTTCTTGAGGTTTCTGCTTTTCGGACGGTTGTTCTTGGGGTTTCTTTTCTGACTGCTTGGATGGTTTGTTCTCATTTTCCTTCGAAGCATTTTCATCTTTTGGTGTACTTGGTTGTTCTGGTGGCGTTTGGTCTTTCGAAAGTAATTTCAATACTTCTGGATCTGTGATATTGAAGGCACGAGGTAGGATTGAAACCGATTTGTCCATTCGATCTGAAATGAGTTTGATCAAATCCTTCTTTGGTGGATAGTCTTTGGCAAGCTGTTGTAAGAATGATTTTTTCACTTCCAAACCAAACAATAAAAGTAACTCGGTACATTTCTCAAATGACACATCTTTCGAATGAGGCTTGTCTTGGTGATACAAGCACCGTTGACACTTAGAAAGTCCTTTGACACATTCGTAGCAGCTTGACCCAAAGACCTCTTCGAGGCAGTCGACAAGGACGGATTGTGTCAACTTCTTTTTCTTTAGCAAGTAGCTAAGTATTTCAGCAAGGGGCTTCCAATTTCCTTGATTCGCCGCCATTTGTAAAGGTGATTGAGGAACTTGTCCTTTTCTTAGTGGGTTTCCTGTTTTTTCACAAAAGAACTTGACGATTTCTCTTGATTTGTCATAGTAGCATGCAACGTGGAAAGCATGTGGTTCCATTTTTGAAAAAATACTAGCTCCTAAATCTACTAAAAGTTTCACAGCTTCCACACTATCAGCAAAAACAGCTTGATGAAGCAAGGTGGAACAAATATCAACTCTGACATCAGCAAACAATAGTTTTGAATAACAACGGAAGAAGTTATCATATGGCTGAGATTTTTGGAAGTAACGTCGATTAAGGCTTTCCTCCTTGTTCGATAGAGACAACGATGCATAGGCAGTGTTACAATTTTTGATGGCCCATTCTATTGCCTTTGGTACGCTTAACCAGAGGTCCAAATGATCTGTCACATATTGCACTTGAGAAACAATGGAAGGACTGTCAGAAGTAAAGCTTAACGTTTTTGAAATTCGAACCTATTTGAAGTGAATAAAAAAGAGTATCAGGAGAAAATTGCCATTGAGAACCGAGAACCCATGAAACCAAAATTTGGACATTTTGTGACAGTCACATTCATGAAACTCGCGAAAACAAACACGCAAAAACATACCTTTGAAAGTTTTCGAATTCCGAGCAAGTACTCGTAGACCAACGGTGCATTGTTTGTAGCAGCCCATAGGGGTCCGTACATGTGTGCAAGATCATTTCTGTCATGACTCTCGGAATATTTAATCATGTCCTCTCCTGCAAAGTGGTTTGGAGTCCTCTGATTAACAACAAAATCGCACAAGGCAAAACTCCACAACAACACCTTTGACGAACTCAATTCCAATAGATCCTTCTTTTTCTTCATAAATTGATAGGCCTCTCTCCACTTTCCAAGTCTCATTAAGCTAAATCGATTTGTGCGAGTCACAATAATAATTTCATTACGAAAATAGAGTCAATAGGTTAAAACCATTCGACCATAAAACAATCCATTCATCACAACCAAAACCACTTACCACTCAGGAATGTGCATTTGAAAGTTAATATAAGATACCATCATGGAATGAACCTCTGGATCAATCTTCTCCGCTCTGTAATAGGCAGCAAGAGCTTCTTCATATCGTCCCATTTTTCTCAATGTGTTTGCCTCTCCAATGATGGCACGCATGTATTGTCGCAAGTCATGATATGTCCAATTGCTTTTTTTCATTGATGAGATGAATTCTTTGCTATAGTATTCTGAAAATTTGGATTGACCTTGGCGATAAAAAGCAAGAGCTTCCTCGAAAGACTTTGCCTTGTACATGGCTAACGCGTTATATGCTTCAATGCAATTCGGAGACATCTTTAGACACTGATCGGCAGCTTTTAGTATGGATTCTAGAGCTTTAGTGTCCAATGCAAGCGGATCTTCAGCACTTGATGAAAGATCAGCCGAGTCCGAATGATAAATTTCGTGTGCCTTCTTGGAAGCATTGAAATCTTGTTTGGTCTTGTACGATGAAGAACTGAAAGCTGTATCATGACCTGGACTTCCAGCAAAATCCATCAAACTTTCTCGTAGTGTATTGTGTAAAAACTTTGTATCCTCCTTTGAAGGATTTGTGTAATACGCTTTTAACATGAGCAAATTACGTTGCGTTTCGGGAAGTGTACTAGACGCAGAATCCAACTCGTGCTTTTCATAAACATTACAAGTTTTAACTACTTTGAGAGCTGAAGCAATCTGATCATGAGCAATGTTAGCACCACCAAAATTATTATTGTTGGTTGATGATGATGATGATGAAGAAGAAGTGTCGGAACCTTCCAAAGTAACTCCTCCACTACTAGGAAATACTCTTGTATACAAAAATTGATCATAGGTTTCAAACAAGAGCGGTTGAGAAGGATTATTGCAATTTGCTTTCATGCTCGAACCAAAAAGGCTTGCAAAGTTGAACATTTTTTTTTGATTTTGTTCGTGTTGTTGGTCGAAGTCAACTTAAAAATTAGAAAGTTAACATTCCATTTTGAGCCCGCAACATTTCATTGCCTTGTTCATCAACAATGCTAGTTGCACTGAATAGCTTTGTAAATGTGTTAAATTCACATGTTCTTTCATTTTAAAATAAAACATGTTAACAAGTTGTGTTGATTTCAAAATTCACACAATTTTTAATTGGTTGTCTTGGTATTATTATTGTTGAGAGGATGATAATTCAGTAGACAAGAGTTGCACGACCTCTCCCACATCAATCTCAAAAGAATCATTGTCATTTTCATCACTTCTGCTCCTCTTTCCATATTTCACTATTACGCTCGTATAATATTTCAATCCCAATGCTCTTGCCACACAATAATTTTCATTATGGAGTGTTTCTCTTGATCCAATCTCGAGAACAAAATGAGAAGTTGTAGGATTTGTTGACATGCTTGTTGATTCGACCTGTTTTAGATTCATTGCATGATCGTTCTGTTGTGAAACTTCTTGCTTTGATGGTGTTGTTTGTGGAGTGCTAGAGCTTGATTTTTTCATGAATAATAAATAGTGTGAAAGTGGAAAATCGAACAATGATATGACACCTTGTGCTTGATGAAATAATTTTCCAATTTCAATAAAAGAAAGAGTCATCTTTTGTTGTTCTTGTTGTCCAGATGACATTGTCCAAGTAAGTATGACATAGCTGCCATTAGTGGTCGAGGTAAAATTGACTTGCGAATTATTTGTTGATCTGATTGTTGGAATTTTCAAATGAACCAATGATAGTCCTTTGGAATTGCAAAATTCTTGCATGCTAGATAGCAATTGTTGACGATTGGAAATGGTGTGTGTATGTTCATCATCATTGTCTCCAATTTGATTACTATCCTTCTCAACGACAAGCAGGTATGGTCTCTGTGATGCGTCCAACAGTAACTCTAAAATACTGGAATTCACCGTAGTAAATTGTCGCATGGCCTTATTCATTACATTTGAAGCCACTCTTAAAGCAATATCTGGTGTTCGTGGTACCACAGAAATGTCCTTTGAAAATAAAAAGTATAATCTCTGAGCCATGTGAAAAGTAGGAATACCAGAGGCAGCGAAAAGAAATTGTCTCGCTGGTGAAATCATTCCATACTGTTGTAAGAGATCAATTTTTTCAACGCCAATCTCTTCATGTAAAACGATTGGTATTTCCAAAGGAAGATACGAGTCCATGAGTATTAATCGTGGTACAATTTCAATAAAGAAATTATCAGGCTCTGATGGTGAGGGAATTTGAATGGGGCCAATGCTTGCTAATTGTGAATGATATTCCAAATTGTAGTGTTTGAAAGCTTCCAGTGCAGAAGTAGAACCAATTTGATCTTGAGCAAATAAATTTCCATGACTGTCAAAAATTGAAAATATTTTCGATGGATCATGCAGACCATAATCAAGAATTCCATTTTCAATGGAAACAATAGCCAAGTCCAAGTTTGGTTTGTAACAGAGACCCTTGTAAAAGTGTGAACTTTGAGTTTTTGGAATGTTTGTTTCGCATAAAATGCATAACTTATGAGTTGTGGAATGATTGGCCGCATTTTGAGTGTCACTGTGTGGAGGCAAATTCGCCATGTCATAATCTGTTTCACAATAATTATTTTCACAATAGCGTTCTCGACTCTTTTCTGTCACACGAGGGTATTCCAAAAAGTCATCTCTATATTTTACATCATTAAATTTCACATGAACTTTAAACGTGGAGCGTCTCGATGTCACTTGATATTGGAATGAAGTGTCGCTCTCATGGGTGCGGTCGATATCATACAACAAATGATTGGCTCTCCAATCCACAAACTTGGAATTTGCAATTCTTCGCTTGAGAGAAGGACCAAAAAATTGTGATTTAAGTTGTGCGCTAGACATTCTACTGTAAACGGATTTTTCTCGAATTAGAATTCTTCTAAAGAAATCCTGTTCAAATTTTTCATCGATCGGCCGCAATAGAGATGGTGAGAAGCTTTCAGTGGCATATTTCAAAAGTAGAGTTTTGTAAAAATCTTTCCAACTTGTTAATGCAGAAGAATTCACAATATAAAATGGATTGAGGTCGTGTGACAATAAAATATGATTTGCAAAATACTGCTTCTCAATCATGTCCTTAGAGTCAAGAAATGGATGATCTAGATTTTTCAATAAATATTCATTGGATGGTAAACTAGTAATGGGTTGTTGAGAGGGTCCGCTCATTGAGATAGGATTCGAGTCATGACCATTTGCTTTCTTCTTGTCATGTTCTTCAATGATCATAATTTTAGCAGTCTTCGATGATGAAGACTTGGATGACATTTGAGGAGAAGGTCCTTGCTCCTGTTTTCGCGATGAAATTTTCAATGCATTTCCAACGAGACCTCTCATTCGGAGGGACAAACTTTCCATTTGGCTGTCACTAAGTGATGTGCTTGCTGATGGCTGAGCGCCCGACGAATAACCTGAGCTTGATGCGATCGAGGGTACAGGTTGCACATTGTGGTTAATGGTAGACAATGTCGTCGTCGATGGCGTTGGTCCTCCACGACGTGCATGAATGGCTCCAAGAACAGCTACGGTAATATTGTGCCACATTCCATGTTGCATGGACAATTTTCGTTTTTCTTCCTTAGCTTTCAATGCTTCATCCCAATAGGGCGTATTTTCAATTCGTCTTCTCTTAATTTCAGGTATCGCTGACATTAATCCGAAAGAAATGGCCATCAAAAGAATCAATAAAAGAATGAATGCAATCCACCATATTAAAAATTTGTCTTGTGAGCTAGAAGAAGATGTCACGAGAGAGGATTTTGAATTTTTAGAAGAACTTGAATTGGGACATGTTGAAGTACTCGAATGATTTTGGAGGGAATGAGAAGAGTGTGGGGCAGTCGTTGAAAGAGTCGATGGGGCTGACGACGATGATTTCTGTTTTGATGAATGCATCGAGTTGGTTGGGCTGGATGAAAAATCTTCCGATGGCCAATTTTGGTGTGAAAAATTAGAGGCCAATGCAGTATTGTCAGAATGCTGAATGGTGTTCAAATGGTTTGGTGTTGTTGTTACCATGGCTGCATGGTGATGATGTTGAATCGTCGTGTCATCTTTGACATCTAGTTGACCGTCATGACGGACCTCATTGTAATCATTTCCAAAACCATTCAAAATTGAGAAGGAGTACGATTTTTGATGTACTTTCCGATGGAGGGTTGTTGCTTCATTATTAGCCAAATGAATAGATTTTTGATGATCTCCATTCATATCGTGCTGATGATGAATATGATGAAAATTATTATCTTCCGATTCAATATTCAAGAATGATAAATCCGAAGATGGAGAAGGCAAATTAACTCTTCTCTCATTCTCTTGAACGTGATAGGAAGAAGGCTCTTCATCATCACCTTGATGATGAGAATTTGATTCAAACAAGGAAGAAAAGAGAAGTGAGGAACTGCTCCGACGTAAATGAATCATTACTCTCCTGTCCATGGTACCATTAAGATGATGATTCATGGAAGATGAT